TCCCTTGTTTTACTCCAACTTGTCAGCAGGATGGCAACTTTTACATTACACCAAATCGTATTACGGTTCACCGATCCAGCTACATTTGGAATTGCATCAGTTCAACTCGAATTGTTATTAGCGACAATATTATTTCTCTCTCGCGAAGGATTCAGATGCGCTTTATTGCGAGGAGGTGATGACACTAGCGACGTTGACGAACTCGCGAGTCCATCCGCGGAAAATGTTGTGTTTGCTAATAGCAGGAAAGGATCCGTGCAAAAAATCACGAACATATCATGGATTCCGATACCTATTGGAATGCTCACAGCTTTCCTTGCTTGTGCATTCTACATATTTTATGCCACCGAAGAAACTCTAGCGGCTCCATATTATGTGACATCAGTGGTTTTATACGGTCTGTCAGCCCTCGGGGAACTTATGGTCGAGCCATTATACATAGCTGCCATGAATAAACTGCTTTTCAAACTACGCGTTGGTTGCGAAGGAGTCGGTGTGATTGTGCGTTGCGTAATTACACTCGCGCTTACACTTTTAGGCGCACCAAAAAATGGGGAAAAGGGGGAGAACGCATACGGAATATTAGCATTTGCTGTCGCGCAATTTGGTTATACACTCATATTAACGACAGGTTACATAGGATACTTCTTATCTAGATGGGATATGAGTTTACTGATTCCACGGAAACTTCAAGATGAGAGGTAAATAACATTTGCAACATCATTGCTACATGATTCTCTATACTAAATGCCTGATATTTAAATGGTGTAAGACTTAATTTTTATGGCAACGTATGTTCTCCTTTTAAATTCATTGTATTCAAGAAAAAATCAATTCTGGTTTGATGCGCACCTTTTCGGTCTCGCCAAGACATTTACAAAACAATCATTGTTGAAACATATATTAACCGAAGGGGATAAGATGTTAATAACATGGTTAAGTAATACTTCCGATCAGGGAATCTATGCCTTTGTTGTAAACTATGGTAAGATTGAAGAGTCAATTATATGTTCTTGTATTCACTTGAAAATACGTTTAACGAAAAAATTTTCAACTTGACGTGATTTCCCCAGGTTCATTGGTCGTTCGGATCTTGTATCAACCTCTTGAGGAAACAGGTCGTACATTATTCTCAAAACTTTTGACAGATGTTGAAAAACGCGATGAAGATTTTGAGGATGCAAGGAACACGGCATTGGTCACCTCACTAAAGATCTTGACGTCCTTAATTAAATTTCACATTTTACTTGGGCTTTTATTTATTGGGCTAGCAACAAATTATACGGGGACCCTGATAGACCTTATGGTAGGCTCGGTATGGTCACAGTCCCCCGCCCCATTGGTCTTATCGGTCTATTGTGCGTACATCCCGATCATGGGGGTTAACGGTATTACGGAAGCTTTCGTGGCTGCGGTTGCGACAGAAAAAACGCTCAGTACGTTAAATTATTGGTTGATAGCATTCTCAGCGGGATTCATTGGAGCCGGTGTGGTGTTCATGAAAATGCTGTCAGCCGGCGCTGTTGGATTAGTTGCGGCAAGCGCATTCAATTTATCGACACGTATCACATGGAGCTGGAGATTTATTAGGACATACTTTTTGAAAAAGCAAGATGGCTCCAATGCGAACATGGACGAATTACGTCGAATGTTATCGATTTCAAACATTTTCCCTAAGCCTTTAGTATGGATAGCTTTTACACTTAGTTGGATAGCGACATTCTGGTCAAATCAATATATTGGATGGGCAACATTGGATGCTAAAATTAAACATATATTCGTTGGATGCTTTTGTGGTATAATTTCTTTGGGAATAACGTATCCTTTCTTTGAAAATTCAACACATTTTTTTAAAATGAATAGTTTTATCAATTTATCATTTATTCCTTAATTTTACCTCCCAATGCTTATAGATATTGGCAAGAAAAGAATTTTATACGTGAGGCAGTCAGTCTTGTTCGTGGCGAAAAAAGTTCAAAAAAATTGCAATGATTAAATTATGTTATTCGATTTATATCTCCTCTTTATATTACGATGGTGATAATAAACCTTCCAACACTTTCTGCACGGCTGTTGCTTTTCTGAACCTAATACTGTGATTTCTGTTTACTCTGGCCAATATACTGTATGCTTGGATAAACGTGTATTATTAAATTATCTGATTCGTAATAAACTCATGCCTAATAATAAAGTTTAATGACCTGCAAATGAAGAATCCATTTGGATAAATTTTCTCTATCTCCTTGAAGACAATATTGTGAATCCAAAAAAAATTGTGATAGAACCGAAAGGATTGATTAGGTATTCGTCATGTAAAGGATATTCTATCACGTTTTATGTGGATAAGGAAATTCCTTTGTTACGATAATATCAATTCCATTTTGGATAATCAATGAGTAATGTTTATTCAAAAGAATTGATAAGGGGAATTCAATGATTAATTTGACATCCCACGATCCCTCAAATGATTGTATCACAACATGCAATGTGCGTGTGCACATATTTTTACTAATTTGTACTTTTCATTTATTTTCATTGAATTCACCGATCGCTAATGCGCGCATAAAAACATATTTGACATTGGGCCTTTCGATACTAATCAAAGTTCTTCAACATTATAAATAAGGTATAAGATGTTTTCGTTTTTTCAAACTCACTATTTTCTTGCCCAGGTATTTGCTACTAATCCGAAAATGAATATGAATTATGGAACGTCTGGTGTAGAAGCATCGAGAGATGTAGAAAATGAAAAGGCATCTAATTTTTCTGCGATTATAAATATCATGTAAGTCTAGGCCGAAACATTGGGCAAGGGAATCAAATTTCTTATTCGTTACTTTTTCACAGTTGTGTAGTAGCTGGATCAGGAATTCTTGTCATTCCCTACGCTATTCAATTAGGAGGATGGATATCGGTTATCTTTTTAATACTCTCTGCAATAATGACCGTCTATGCAAACAACAAACTTATAGATGCTCTATATCTGCCCAAGTACTTTGCACAAATTTTTCTTTGTGTATCATAAATAACGTACATCATCCTAATATACATACGCGCGTGCGTTGCTTTAAATAGATATCCGGAAGACATGTCCGCGTGCGTTGCTTTAAATAGATATCCGGAAGACATACCCGCGCACGTTTCTTCAAAGAGGCTTCCGAAAGACATACCCGTGTACATTGATTTACCCGCCTACGTTCCTTTAAAGAGGAATCCGAAAGAGAGAAGAAGTTCATTGCTAGCATTAGCGGGTGACGCATATGGGGATATTGGATATTACATCGTTGGAATAGTCTCTAATACATTCTGCATTGGTTGCTCCGTTCTTTTTCTTATCCTCGCGAGCGATAATCTTCAGACTTTATTTGCT